CCCTAGTAGTGCCAGCCGTAGTAGTGCCAGCAGTAGTAGTGCCAGCAGTAGTAGTGCCAGCAGTAGTAGTGCCAGCAGTAGTAGTGCCAGCAGTAGTAGTGCCAGCAGTAGTAGTGCCAGCAGTAGTAGTGCCAGCACGAGTGCTACGTCCGCTCACCGCCCGCCGCCGCCCGACCGCAGGAGCAGTATCACCAGAAGCTGAGCCTCGCTGAGGCGGAGACGATGGCGGTCACCATCCTCAAGCAGGCATCCCCACCCCCTCCCTCCCCACCCCCTCCACCCCCTCCCCCACCGTCTCGCCGCACACGGGTGCGAATGAGCGACGCGTGATCGGCCGGTGTGCACCTCGCCGCAGGTGATGGAAGACAAGGTGGACGTGACCAACGTCGAGGCGAGATACGGGGAGATACGGGGAGATACGGGGAGATATGGGGAGATATGGGTGGACGTGACCAACGTCGAGGCCCCCCTCCGCCGCGGAAGCCGAGGCGCGGGCCCGGCCCCTCTTCTCTCTCACAGCTCTGCCCGCGCTGCGCCAGGTCGCCTCCGTCTCGATGCCGGCCGAGGTGGCGGTGCCGCCGGTCGAGGCCGCATGCCACTACGTCCCCGGCGCCGCCTTCCGCCCGCAGTACACCACCTACGACAAGGCGCCTCGCCGGGAAGTAGCTAGTCCGTGCAGTCGGGCAGCCACACACCACCACCACCACAGAGGCTGCCGCTCCTGCTCCCGCCCTCGCTCGCCCCTCACGCCGCCCCGCTGCAACCTCTCGCGCAGGCGCGACTCGAGGCGGTGCTCGCCCGCGTCAACGCCGCCGCCACAACCTCCTGAGGCTTGCCGCGAGGTAGCGGGTGCGCGGGTTGGAGGGGCGGCGCGGGTGGAGGGAGGTAGCTCAGTGAGAGCGGGCAATACCCGACATACATACTTTACGACATATCATTGATCGGGGAATAATATGGGAATAAAAACAAAATCGATCATCGAGATGCACCAAAAGAGCGCCCAGGCCCACCCCCCACGGCCACGCCCGGCCCCGCGGGCCCCTCGGCGCTCGCAGCCTCGGGGGCCGCGGGTGTCGCGTGTGACTAGGTCCAGCCCTGGGTGGCGCAGGTTGTGACATTTGGCGATTCCGCGACTTACTGGGCCCCTGAGCCGCTACCCGTGTGCGATTTTTTGTGGCCCGGACATGATACTGATAGTAAACGGGTCAGAACCGGCCAAACACAGGCTACAGCCCCACACACGCGCCCGCCATAGCTCCTGGAGAGCATGCGCGAGTGACGCGCTGCAAGCCGCGAGAGTGGCATCAGAGGCAGGAACGACGTGCTCTTGCTGCACCTCGCAGCTGCACCAAGTGTGCTCGCAGTGTATGCCACGGCCACTGCCTGCGGCATTGCTCTCGTGCAGCTAGGCGATGCAGGTCCATCAGCAGGGCTCATCCAATGCGAGCGCACATTTGCATTCCTCCGCGAGACGTCGCGGGTCGGCACCCAATCCCATTTGCTTTCCCATTTGCTTTCGTTCAAGGACAGGCATCTCCTCGAGCCTTCACGTTGCCGGGGGAGGGGGGGCCAGCGGCGGGAAATTGTCCTTTTGGCTGTTCCCACGGTAAACTTCCCTTATGTCGGCCAGACTCGGCGTCCCCTCTGTCGGACTCCCTGCCCCGGTGGGCCTGTAGCACAGTCGGTAGTATGCCAGGTCCGAGGCGGAAAATCCAAATTTT